CTGGGACTCTGGCACATGTGACTAGGGCATGTGGCCATGCACATCATCTCAGGGGAGGAAAATGCCTTTCCCTGAGATCTCATGAAATTACAGATTAGATTTCCCAGCAATGCTCTGCTGATGTAAACATCCCAGGACGCAACGTTTGGGCACAGTTTCAATCACTAATGCCCAAGAGGACTAGGAAGTGCAAATGCCTTTCCCTGAGATCCCGTGAGATTACAGATGAGATTTCCCAGCAATGCTCTGCTGATGTAAACGTCCCAGGACGCAACATTTGGGCACAGATTCCATCACTAATGCCCAAGAGGACCAGGAAGTGCAGAAAAAGTAATTGTAAGTAAAATAAAGATGATTTCATATCAGCATTCAGAGCTGTAACACATTTTCAGTTATACCAGCCATTTTTTTCTATTGCCAAATATTATTTGTTCATTCTGCTGATCCCTTGGTATTCACTGGATTTCCAGCAGGGGATCAAGAACGTTTGCTGCCTGCTGCTGAAATTATTGAGCTTGGTAAAACATTGACAATGCCTAGGGTCTACTTTTAAAATACAAATATCTGTGAATATTCGTTTTGTGCAAATATTGGCAAACATAAACATTGTTAATATATTGTATCTACAGGTCAAATATATTGGGATGTAATACTGCATCATGCCCCCAAGATAGAGCTGTGAAGCATAGAAAAAAAATACTTATATCCTATGCTCCTCAGCTCCATTTAGTGGTATTAGGTTACATTCAATCTGGAAAAAGAAAATATGCTAAGTATGTTAATGTTGCCTCTTTTTGCACAGAATGAACATTCACAGAGATTTACAGGGTGAATGGTTGTTTATAAATAACAGGGTCTTCTCTATAAGGAAAGAAAATGGTAGGTCCCTCCGCACTCCTTACAGCATACCCGGCCCAAATTACACTAGTGGTGCTCGCAGTGATACTCACTGATGGCGCCGTGCACATTAACAGTAGCAGGAATCACTAGAACTCATAGAAGAAAGCTGGTGATTCCTGTTTTCTTCTATAAGGAGAGAGACAGCCGCCATTCGCCTCAGGTGGCATCTCATTGGGGAGGTGGGGGGGGGGGGGGGGCTGCAGAAAGGCAGCCACAATGCCCCAGGTTTCTAAGAGGTCTTAGCATCCTGTGATGCTCTGTCCAGTTTCCCACCCAGCTCACTGACATCGGTTGCCAGGAGCTGAGCAAAACACACTAGCTGGCACCCTACTAAGCTCCTGGCAAACCGTGACATCAGTGAGCTGACAGGGAAGCAGGTCAGAGCATCACAGGTTTTTCTTGCCTGGTGTGGACATCAACCCCCACCCTATCAGCAAAGCCACCCCCCTGGGAAGCACCATCAGAAACACAACCGCCCCCCTTACTCTACAGCCCTAGTGTTTAGTTTGGGCCCCGCAAGGTTCTGAAACACTGTGTTTCTCATGTCATGCTAAGGGAATACCAATAAATATGATATTGTGAAGCTGAGTGGTATGCGGACAACATATCCTTTACACTGTTCACTATGGTGCCATCCACCAGTTATTCCAGCACCCAATGAATTTCAAGGTACATTAGTATGGAGTGTGTAGGGAATATCACTAAGTTGTCTCTAAATAGATCCCATACACATGCATGAAAAGCTTCCCCACTCCTTCTAGCCTCAAAATAGATGATCACAGAAGAAGAGGACTTCCTGGTGTCAAAGCACATTTAGTCCCCACTTACCTGCCACATTGGAGAAGGCTTAGAGGTCATGTGACCGCATAAAAAAATAAAATTAGATATTTTGCTGTGTGATACTATCATATAGCAATGCTAAATCCCAGAAGATCAATTGTTTGTGATGTCATTAATATTAGAATATCAGGCACCCTGTTGGTAAAACACAACCCCTTTTGCAGTGACCACAGCCTCCAACAAAAGCTTCCAAGCAGTCAAATAACAGTCTTCTTCTGCTTGCTTGAGGAATTTTTTCCCACCAGCGCTTCTAGAATAGAAAAAAAAGAAATTGTACACTAAACCGTTGTATGTTCATAGCAAAGCTTATGTTAAAGTATATCAAAAGCCACAACTTTTTTGTTAGTTTTGGATACAATGCAGAAGGGTTAGAACCACTCTGTGCCCACTGTCATACTTTCTATTGTCCCTATTGACCATTGTTTTAGAATCCCTTTGTGCCCACTGTCACCACTTCTATTGTCTCTATTGACCATTGTATTAGAATCCCTCTGTGCCCACTGTCATTCTTGCTATTGTCTCTATTGACCATTGTATTAGAATCCCTCTGTGCCCACTGCCATCCCTTCTATTGCCTCTAGTGGCCATTGTCTCCAGGAAAGAAAGTGATGGGGAATCCAAAGTTGCGCCAGGAACAGGAGGTATAGATAAATCATCCAAGGGGTAAACCTGTTCTGGTGACAATTGTCTGAGGTGATATCCCCACACTTTGGAGAGAACTCCTCTTACTTCCTGGTGAGTCTATGGGACAGGAAGTGAAGGGAAATCTCCCTGCCAAGACACAGGGAGAGACAGATTTTTGTTGTTGTTGTTGAGACAGAAATAAAAAAATAACCTGACAAGGAGTCTAAATCATTACCTACGCTGTCCAAAAAGGAAAAAAAAAGTTTTGGCTTCACATACACTTCAACTTTTCTGTTAGAAGATCAAAAATATACATCATCTGAGCAGGAGTGGCCAAACATTTGCAGACAACTGAATTTGTGTGTATACATACATGTTATAATCTGATTGCAGAATCACTGCATAATATTATTTAGAGCCTACTTAAATAATCAAAACTGTATCTAACTGGGCAGGTCCTTGGACGTCATAGTTGTTAGTAAATCAAAAGAAAATTATACCTTCAGGTGGTAATGTGTGTGACAATTTTTAAAGCATGCAAATAACAAGCATCACCAGCAGAAGTAATATTTATGTTATAAATAGTATTATAACAAAGCAAAAGTTTGTTAGATGGGCCCACCATTGGGTTTGAATTATTTATCATGGTGGCAGTGGTGGGATGGCAGGTTTACCTTTTTACTGAAATTATCTGGCCCATGATAAATAGTTGTTTTTGGGTACATTTATTATTGTAAATCTGCCCTGAGAACAATATTGGGACTGCTGTTTTTCTTGGAAATGTTTGTTGCTTGGCTGTTATGCTGATCTTTCCTCATCAATATTTTGAGTTGATGACCCAAATCAAGTATGCAATTCAGGAAGTTCATCATAACAGCTAAGTAAATAGCAAATTCAGCAAAGTTCATCAACGGCAGCCACCTTGTCCCTCTAGCAACAAGTTTCCTTGAAGAGGATGCAGGAAATTCTTAGTTACATGTTGTTCCAGTGCTTTATGGTGATGTCAAGTTATTGCACCAGAACTGACATCTGTTGTTGCGCACATCAAAAATCACCCCCCAAAATGTATCAATAATGTACCACTATACAATATACCAATAAATGTAGTTGCAACCACCATTAAAATAATAGGCATATTAATACATATTATGTATATACAATGCTACAGATATCTTTGAGTTTATGGCACTATAATAGTATGGGGTTAATTTACTAAAGGTAAATAGGCTGTTCATGTTGCACTGAAATTTGCACTTTGCAGGGAATGTTTTCCTTAGCTTGATGAATGTGGTGAAATAACACTTTACAAAGAGCCCCCAAAAATACCAAATCATGTGCAATCATGTACAAAGAATACCAATTCTATTTTCCTTTAGTAAATCAACCCCTATGTGTCAGCTACAGTATTTATAGCCCAATTGAAGTCTCATACGTTTTTTCTCTTTATAATCTTGTATATTATTTTAGAAAATG